AGCACACGAAAAAAGAGAGAAAGATACAGTTATTGACTTCAAGTTCAAATACCTTGCACTTAGGGAGGGGGACAGAACAATTCGTAGCACAGAATTAAATAGCAATTTGTATAGCAGCATATGATTAAATCCAAAATGATAGCAATAATTAGAAGCCATAAAAAAGGAGATCAATGAGGATAAGTTTTACAGGGAAGACTTGATGAAAGGAGCGGTAAGTGGTTTGGGCCATGAATAGACATTGGATGGGCAGAAGGAAAAATCTTGGGAGTACTCAACAGCATGATTAAAACTACGGGTGTAAGAAGGCACTTGACATTAAAAAAGGGGGACTGTGAGAACTAAAGTCTCAACTAAAGTCAAGTTTCAGGCAGTCATTGGAAAGTCAACACAATGTCCTGGGTATTATCCCAGCACTTTATACATACAGTTTCAGTGATACAACCTCAATTGTGGTCCTGTTATCTTGCATTTCTACAATACGGATGAGAAAGCTGAAGCTAGGAGCGACTTATGTCAATAGCTAGTTACCAGTGGAAGCGGACTGGAATAGAGGTCTGTTACACCATACTATTATGGATAAAGACAGATGGCGTTCTGAAAAGCAAAGGATAGCAACCAAAAACGTTTATATTCTTTCCTGAAAGTAGGTGAGAGTCTAAAAGAGTTTAAAATAGAGAAATGTCATGAGTATGTGTTTTAGGAAGATGAATCACACTGAATAGTAACAACATTCAGGACTCTGCTCAAAGCCTCCTTCTCAGACAGGCCTTTCCGATCATCATGTTGATAGACCCTGCTACTGCCAAAACTCCCCCCCCCCCCCCACTTTCTACCCAATTATCCTGCTTTATTTTCATTTCTCATATTAAATTAAGCATTTACTATTTTGTTAGTGTGTGTCCCACCCACCCACCCACCCCGCCCCATAGAATATAAGGTCTGTAAGAGCAAGGAGTTTACTACATCTATTGTTAAATTCTACCAGTGGGAACAGTGTGTCATCTCAGGAACTACATGATAAATATTTATCAGATAAATAAATAAACAAACAAACTGAATGTGTGGTTAGAGTTATAAAAATGTTACTAAGAACCTAGATATTTGTATTCAAAATATCTAAATCACCTCCCGATTTTTTGTTTTCATAAGAATTTGGTGTGTCACTCAAAAACTTAATCCACATCCACTTAGTAAAACTCTTGACTTGATTAACTGGTTCCATTTCCCATAAAGAATTGCTGAAATAGAACTCTTCTGACTCTCAAACCAACCCCATCTGTCAGTCCATTCCTACAAAAGTATGCACAGAATCCCAGTGAGAAGTTTAAGATTAGGCATGTTTTAAATTGGTAATGCCACAGCAGAATTATTGTGTTGAAAGAAGACAACTTCTATTTAAGTAATTTGTCAGAGACTGCATGCGTTGGTGGATGTAGTTGGTTTCACTGGGGAGGAGCTCTATGCCATGAAAGGATGGAGAGAACCTGAGTCAGAACACTGATTCACCAATCTGTGGTGGTATTTCTCGGGCGGACCTTTCAGATGACCAATTCAAGTGATGTCTATTGTTTTCTCTAAGTATCCAACTCAAATAGAATTTTCAGTTCTTCCTTTAAACCACAGACCCACAGCTGTCATCACACTTGTTAGACAAGTTTCCTTTTAATTGCTTTTGCTATAGCACCAAGCCCTTAAAGTCCAACTATCATTGTGGTTAGCACATTTACCTGAGAACCACTGATCAGGACAAAAGGAGTGCAGAAGTGTCCTTTACTGTATTAACATCACAGCCATTATATCAGCACATTATGTATAGGTAAGTGAAGATTTGCTTGCCTAAATTCTGACATAAATAGAATTAACACTGTTTCCCCAGGATGACTCTCACTCAAGGGTTGCAGTAAGACAGTTAAGTTCAGGGGGTAAATTGGTGATTTTTCCTCAGCATTTTGGATTTTCTGCATGGAAAGAGAGAAGCTTGTTGCTAACATTTACTTGTGTCTGGAATCCATATTTTTATGTAATGATTTAGGAAATGCTTTGGAAAAGTAATGTGCAGCTTAACATCCTGTGAATGAAAAGCTGTATGAATGTGTGACTGTTGTGAAGTGGGGAGGATGCAGCAGAAAGCACATTTTCTTTTTTTGGGAACCAAATGCTAAATTGTTGCTGGTGGTGATGATGGTTATGACCTCTTTGTATTTGTTTAACATTTCATGCTTTCTACAGTGCTTCCCTGAATATTATCTTGAATCTCACAGTACCACTGTTTTATAGGTGTCCTTTGTAGAGGCATACACACATACATATATTTTCGTTAAATGTCTATGAATCAAAATAGTGTAATTATGAGTACATGTATGCTATTTTAAAGTGCCTAACTAGATAACTGTCATAGTAAGTGAATGGTGATCATTAATGGTAAAATTTTAAGAACATAATTCCAGCTCACAAAAAGTTATCAGCAAAATATATAAAATATAGTCAAATTAACAAAATATAATTTTAAAATATTGACTGCTTAGGTGTGTATAAAATATAAATGCATATCTCACTCAAATATTTCTCTATAATATATATTTCTGGTTAATAATTGAGCCCTTTAAGACATGTACTTATCCGTATCATATATATATGTGTGTGTGTGTGTATGTATTCACAAAATCAGTATTCATGTAATAATGTGGTCAGAAAGGTCACATTCACGTGATAGCATTTACTAAAAACATTTTTCTTGAAATAAAGCAAATTATTTATTATTACAGTTTTTAATTAAAAATATCCTTTTATTTATAATCCTGATGTTTTCTTATTAGCCACATCTCTGATCTGTCAACGAAGGAGTGGTCACACACATTTAAAAGTAGAAAAGAAACAGTGTGATTATTTTGTTTTGTTTTGCCTGTGGGGTAGTCATTACCTTCATGCTGTGTGGATGATATTTTTTATTTATAGAGCACCTCTTTCTCCTTCATTATTCTGACACTTGTGTGAAGTCCTAACTTGAAGTATTTCAAAGGATTAAGCCATTGTTTCTAAGAACTGATTACCTAAGAAAGGTTCAAGCCCTAAATCGGTGTTATTAGCCTTTCAAAGTGAGGCACTTACCTGCTTTCACAGCAGAACTCTGAGGGATTTGGAATCACAGTTGATTCAGAAGGTGCACTGCAGGAGACTTTAGTGAACTTTGTGGTTGCTTGTCGCTGCCAGGAAAAATGAATATTTAAGAGGGCGAAAAGAAAGGCAAGTGGAAGTAAAAACTTCAAAACCACATTTTATGAATTTCAATCTTTTTCTTAGAGTTAACCCTCCAGAACGAATGGAAAAAATCTTAGAAGGAAGTTGCTTAAAATTTTTACCAAAGTGGCACTGAGAAGTTCATGTCCAGGATTTTTTTTGTTTGTTTGTTTGTTTGTTTTAGTGGCAAGATATAATTTACATTCTGTATCATATCCCAGTACTTTATTTTTTGATTTCCCAGAACTTGTAGTATAGACTACCAGAAATTGACTAATAGTTGAGTAATTTTTCTACTTGAGAACTCCCTTTGTCTTTTGTTAAGCAGCAATTTATGTCATGGTTGTAAGATCTTAGGGTTATGAGTTAAAAGTAGCTATGACCTAGAAAAACATATCTGTGACAAGAAATAATAAAAATGGGGAAAAAAGGGGGGCTAAGAAATGAAAATAAAATATCCTATAGCAATTTTAATGAAATAAAATGGAAAATTAGAAACTAGTATCAGTCTTTTGGTTTAGATGAATTCTAAGACATCTTTATTAAATTTTAATAGATTTAGATTTCTTTCAGTTCTTATAAGAACACAAGTGTTGAATGCAAAGTATAGAATTAAAATGAAAAACTTACCCAAATCTATATAAAGACTTGTTTTGCGTTAAAGCTTTTAAAATAAAACTAGTCATAACAAGACATACAAATAAATCCCCCAATTAAAAGACTATTAGAGGAAAAAAGTAATTAATAAGAGTTCCAGGGAGACTGAAAAGTAAAGAAAAGGGTGGTGTGTTGTAAAGATTAGAGACTCAGCAGTGAGCAAGATAGTTTTGGTGGGGCAGAATGCTTATGAGGTGAGGTAAGTACTGACCCATCACTAAAAGGCCAATAATATTTTGAATTTGACACTTAAGAAAAAAATACTCATAATTTAAAAGCTTTTGAAAAATATCAAGTAGTGAAACTGTGAAATTCAGGAAGGGAATAAAATAATTGAGATGAATGAGTTGTTGTTAGAATGGAAACATGCTTTCTTTGGAAATGGAAAAATTAATTTTGTGCAATATTTTATATAATGAACACTAAGCTACACCAATTCATTTTCACAGTTTTGATTCTCCTCTGTTCTTAGACGACTTCCAAATTTATGAGGGGTCTTCAGAAAGTTCATGGAAGATGCATATTATGAAAAAATTATGCACAGATTTAAAATTTTCATGCACCACATAAGTTTATTCTTAAATTCCACTTTCAATAAACTTTTTCAAGTCCCCTCATATATCCTACACTGTAGTAAATTAGTTGAACTAGCAACATGACATCTCAGTTATGTGCTGAATTTCAAATTCCCCTCAAACTCAAGATATAAAATATTTACCTTTTTATCCTACCCAAACGATTTCTTCTAGATGTCACTTTATTCTCCCCTTTGTAAGACACAATGTTGTATCATCTTTAACACCTGCCTTTCCTTTATTGATACCATTCATTTATTACCAAGTTCTGGCAAATACTGCTGTCAGCCCTCTCAAATTTCTCACATTCTTTCCATTCTTAAAACTATCTCCAAGGATCCCATTGCTCCATTCCCATAGATTACAATAGGCTTTTTCCTCATGCACATAAATAAGGCATGCACCACATACTGACATTTTGATCAGCAATGGACAACATATGACAGTGGTCCCATAAGATTATAATGGAGGTGAAAATTCCCATCGCCTAATGATATATATAATGTTGTAGCACAATGTATTACTAACATGTTTGTGTATCATATAAACAAACCTTCCGGAGGTATTCTAAAAGAAGGTATTGTTACCATAGGAGATGGCAGCACCATACTTGTTATTGCCCCGAATTTTCCAGTGAGACAAAATGTGGAGGTAGGAGACAGATATTGATGATCCTGACCTTGTGCAGCCCTAGGCAAATGTGTGTGCTTGTGTCTTAGCTTTTGACAAAAAAGTTTAAAAAATAAAAAAAAATAAAGATGTTCTAAAAACTATTAAGAGGATATAAAAACAGGATATAAAAATTAAATATTTTTGTAGAGCTGTACAAAATGTTTGTACTTTAAAACTAAGTGTTATTATGAGTCGAGAAGTTTAAAAACAAAAGCTTATAAAGTGAGAAAATTGCAGTAAGCTAAGATTAATTTATTATAAAGAAAAATATTTTTAATGAATTTAGTTTCATCTAAATAGACCATATTTATAAAATCTATAGTAGTTTACACTAATGCCCTAGGCTTTCACATTCACTCATTACTCACTCATGACTTGCCCAGAGCAACTTCAAGTCCTGCAAGCTCCATTCATGGTAAATACTCTGTTAAGGTGTACCTATTATTTTTTCATCTTTTATACTTTTCATTTTTCCTAATTGTATGCTGTGGGACATGTACATTTGTCAGAGAGAGATAGATGACAGAGAGAGGGAAAGTGAGAAAGCACCTCCCAGGGAAATGGCTACACTACAATCCCTTCTCCTTCACTCTCCTCTCAGGATTTTGGGTATACACACACACATGGACTTGAACCATGTGGTTAACCATGTGGGAAAAAGCCATATTAATCACCATGATAACTGCTGGTTCCCTTCTTTCATATCATATTTTTACTGTACCTTTTCTATGTTTAAACATATTTAGATAAACAAATATTTTCCATCATGATAAAATATAGTCTATAGTAATCAATATAGGAGCACGCTATACAGGTTTGTAGTGAAGGAGCAAGAGGCTATACCACATAAACTATGCATGCAGTGTATACAATCTAGTTTGTGTTAGTATTCTGTGACAATTGCACAACAATAAAATTATCTAACACATTTTCCAGAATATACCCCTGTCACTAAGCAATGCATGACTTGTACAGACACACACACCCACCCACCCACAAACACACACACACACACCATGAAGTTTGTTTTAAGGATTTTTTTTCACAGAATTGTGTCCTGGCAAATCTGACATCCAAAGGACAAACCTACAGTCTGGAAACTCAGATGAGGTTTTTTCCTTATAGCCTAAAGATAGAGTTCTTTCTTCTCCCAGAAACCTCAGTTTTATGCTCACAAGGTCTTTAACTGATTAGATGAAGCCTACCTACACTATCAAAGGTAATCTCTTTACTTAAATCAACTGATTGGAAGTATTAATCATAGTAATGGAATACAACTCATGGCAACATCTAGACTAGTGGTTGACCAAACATCTGGGCACCATAATCTTGCAAGAGTCGACACACAAAATTAACTCTCAACACTGTCCATTTTCATCTTTGGCCAGTTTGTGACTTGAAATTTGCTTCAGTAAAACTGAATCACCAGTCATTCTTAGAGAGCTGCATGTTATTCCTTATTCTCCATTGTCTTCCCATGCTTCTCTGCCTGGGACATTCTCATGAATGATTGTCTCAATTTAATCTGAGACTTTCAATACATATTTGCTGTCCAAAAGAAAAACAGTGAAAAAACTTACTATAGGTTCTTTTACAAAAGACTTCTTTGAACCACAGTAAGAAACAAGCTACTAAGATAGATGGACATTGTCTAACACAATATGACACCTCATATTTATGTGTGTTCATTGCACATAATATTTAGCAATAATAAACAATATAGTGTTATGATCATAACTGGAGCCACGGTCTCAATTTTCTTCCTTTCATCAATTCTGCTTTAGGAACTTACTGAGCTTGGTGTACTACAAAATTTCTGCTGTATTAGATTCAGAAAAACGGTAGAGTGAAAGAAATCAGTGAAGGACTCTCCTGAGCATCTGTTAGTGGGGTTTTTGTTGTTGTTAGTGGAATTTAAAGGCCAAAGGCGTCACTTCATTAGTCTCCTCCCACTCTTTTGGGCATCACCAACTGAGAAGCAAACCAGATTAGCACCCACATCTTGCCAAAAAAACATAACTGCATCCCAAAAGGCAGCTGGTGGGCGAGCCAGCACGGTCCCTGCAGCTTCCTGTGTCCTACTGCTCAAAGAGTAGTGAGGACAGGGCTCTCTACTGGAACCGTGAAATGAGGATGGAAAAGGCAATAGTTTTACTTTGTGTTGACAAGTACAACTAGTTAGAAGTACAGATAACTTAGCTCCAACTATCACACTCCTGAAAAATAAGTTCACAAAACAAATGCAGAAAAATGAGTAAGATTTCATAGCACAGGTTTAATTAGAAGCTTTAAAAGAAGCTTTTTCCTCCTTTCTCCCTCCTTCCTGCCCATCTTTCTTTCTTTTCCTCCTTCAAATGTCTTTTGCTACTTCTATGCCTAAATTGTGAAGGTTCTAGTGGTAAGAGCAAAAAGATTCAGATTTGAAATGTGATGTTTCTGATATATTCTTCATATTCTTATCATTTACTTGCAGACCTGTCACAGCTTCCCGAACATCTCTTCCAATATGGATGATTGCTCTCATTGTGTTTGGAGTGTTGGCAATCATTGGAGTCACTATTGGTCTCCTGGTTCATTTTCTGGCAGTAGGTTGGTACAAAATATATTTTTACTTATTTCATTTTGTTGTAATTCTTATTTCTAGTTCTATAAAAGGTAAACAAACACTGGCAAGCTATAAATGATTTCCCTTTAAAATGGCATCAGTGACCCTAGATCCTAGAGATAATATTGTTAGCATTTGCCAAACTTTGCTTTGCAGACATTGTTTTGAATATATACAGGTAAAATAATAAATATCCATTCAGAGACATGAATGTATAAATAATTAATAGATAGGCAAAAAAATAATTCTACCTATGTGGTACTCTATGCATTATTATTATTATTTTTTTTGGAGAGTTTTTTTTGCTATAGGGCACGTGCGCTCGCCAGACAGAGAGAGACAGAGAGACAGAAAGCGAGAAATCACTCCCCCCAGGGGGGATGGTCACGCCGCAATCCCTTCTCCTCCGTTCTCCTCTCGGGCACGCACGCACACGCTCCTGGCATGAGTTTTAAGCCACCAGATCCGGAACACGAACCATGGTCGACTATGTGGGAGTCCAGCAACATAGCCATTACGCTAACTGCTGGTTCCCCTATGCATTATTTTATAATTAAAATAGTACACTTAGTTTATGCAAAATAGAGAAACAAATGAATATTGTATTTTGATTAGATGTTTCTTTATAACAAAGACATTAATATTAGAAAATGCCTTTAACATAAATTTTTTAAAGTTTATTTTATTCAGGATAGAGTTTGTGAACATTCATGCACACATAAGAGTGAGAGAGAAAGATAGGCAACCTGGACAGGGTCTCTTCAAGCCATGATCTTCTTTCCC